GTCTGGCTGTCATTACTTTCTGAGATCAACAGGTATTTTTCTGTTTCAGCTGCATTTTTTTAAGTAACAAAACACGGGGAAAGGTGTAAGTACTGGAGAGGTGCAGTCCATGGACATTACCAGTTGTCATATTCTATTGCATCTTTTTTGTTTATCCCCTAACCTAATGCAAAGACCAAAGTAAGCTGGTCATACTATAGTATGAACGAAAAAAAGATTCCTTTATGGACGATAAACAGCGTGGGAGGATGAACCTCCTGCTGCGGCACCACGGCAGTCAGAATGCATAAACAGTGACTGCAGCTGACTGGGTACTGCCATTGTTCGGCAAAAGTTACCTGTTGGGCTGACAGGGCCACCTGTATGGTGCATGGCCAGCCGATCAGCTGCAGTCTCTGTTCATATATTCCGACAGCCATGGTGGCCTCTGTCAGAATACAATAGCTGCAGCAGGAGGTTCGTCCATCCACGCCGTTTAGCATGGATGGAAGAATCAGTAACACTTTTTCCATTCACAGTAGTGTATGAAATTTAGATTTTGTAGATCAGCAATGTGAAGCTGGCTTTAGTTTAGTCCATCACAATTATACTACAAGGAAAGCTCACATACAAGAACCGCCATATCCTTGTAGTGCCCCCCGCACACCATCATTTCAATCTCCTCACATGGCCAAACAAGACGGCCCTGCAATTGATTGGGAAGTGATTAGTGCAAACTCTGCTGATTAGTAATGGTTCACCTAGACATGGAAGCACTCTTTACTTATTAATCCGAACAGTTATTTCTCTTTGATGATTGATCTCCCAAAGTAACAGTATTGAACAGCATATCATTCTATAGCTTTCAGTGTGGTTACATTGATCAGCATGCGATTACTGGGTGATAATTGCCATAGTAGGGCTTCTCAGATATCCTATAGCCACTTACTGCCAGGGAAAGGGAAGGTGGGGGCCAGGCTGGCTTCTGCCTTTGTTACAATGGAATTTAACACTAAAACACTTGTCTGTTCTTTTTCAATATTTTAATGGAGGTAACAATAATAAATCAGATCCTCCCACCCCCCCAAATCATCACAGGTCCCACAATACATCCCCCAAATCTATTTCAAATGCCTGCTAGTGACTGACGTTTGTTTTTTCAAGACAGCCTCTTCACAAATTTGGTACAACAGGCCTATCGGCACTTCTTCTCACCGAGAACAATGTAAGTTACATGAATCCATTTGGTAATGTTGACTATAGTCTTAAAGTGATCATAAAGTCCCCAAAAAACTTGGATTGTCTTATTACACAACTAGCAATTTCAGCTAAGAAGCTGGTGCTTGGCCCTACCCTCTGAGCCTGATCATTGGTTAGTAAGTAGGGATGTCCCGATACCGATGCTAGCATCGGAATCGGGCCCGATACAGGGCATTTTGACAAGTACCTGTACTTGTCAAAATGCCCCGATGCCTAGCGCCGAAGCTTGCGCTGTTTTTTTTATTTTTTTTAACCGTCCGTGGGGTCCTTTTTACTGTCCTCTGGGCAGGCTGGAGGAGCGTCGCCTCACTGCTGTGGGCGGCGCTCCAGGTGGGGTCCTAATGTGGTTGGCCAGCGACTGCCCAGATGACTCCGCCTGTAGCCCTGGCCACAACAGTGACGCGACGCTCAGTGCCGCCGACGTCCTCGAAAAGGAGAAAGTATTCGGCACCTCCATTGAACAGGCAAGAGTGAATAAGGGCCTGTGCTGGGATGGCAAAGAAGACAGTCAGTAGTTGCTCACAATAAGGGGTCCTCACTGTCCCTATGTGTATGCACCATGGGTATCAGTACCGTCAAGCACCCAGGGCACATGCCCACATCCCTGGGTGCTAAGGCTGCTTCCACCCACTGTTGATCTGTAGAAGTGGGTACAGAGGAGAGCTGGAGTGAGGGGGGAGGGGGTGGCAGAAGTGCTGAGATGTGGACGGGGATTTAGAGATGAGCTGTGGCTGGGTGGTGAAGAGGTGAGGTGGGAAAGGTAAGCTGTGGTGAGGGGGAGCAGAGTTTAGCTGTGGACAGGGGGTATAGTGGTAAGCTGTGAATGAGGGGGTAAAGGTGAGCTCTGAATGAGGGTTACAGAGTTTAGCTGTGGACATGGAGTTCAGAGGTAAATCAGATGTTTTTTTTTTTTTAAATGTCACCTGTCCCTTTAAGAAAAAGTATCGGTAATTGGTATCGGCAAGTACATGAGGGCCAGTACTTGTACTTGGTCTTAAAAAAGTGGCATCGGGACATCCCTATTAGTAAGGGTGCCCATTACAGTCGGGAGAGAACGGCTAGGAACTAGGGATGCACCGATATTTCGGCCGCTGAAACATATCGGCCGACAATGGCACTTTTGGCTAAATGCCGAAAGTGCCATTTTTCTGCCGATACAGGGGTGCATCCATTCTTTCTTTCCTCCCCGCTGGACACTGCTCTGTGTCCAAGCAGGGAGGAGAGAAAGTGTCACAGGCAGCCAAGCGCTGCGGGAGGAGAGTGCTGTGAGCGGCCGGCGTCTTAACTCCCACACCGCTCAGCCTCCTATCACAGTCCGGCAGAGCGGTGTGTGTGCGGAGACAGGCCGCGCTGTCACAGGAGGCTGAGCTCTCCTCCCTACACCGCTCGCTCAGCCTCCTGTGACAGCTGTCAGGATGGAGAGCGAGTACACTGAGTAATCAGTGATCGCTGAGTGTTTGTACATAACATGAGGACATGGCATGTTTACTATAGCCTCAATTATGAATAAATGGGAAGTGTTCTACATCACCTCCTGTTCATTCCTTATTGGGGTTATAGTAAACACACTATAGCCTCATGTTATGAATGAACAGGAACACTCAGAAGATTCCTGTTCATTTATAACAGGGGCTGCAGAAATAGAGATTAAGGACTCCGTGTCCTCAATCTCTTTTTCTATTTTAAAAGAGAAATATCAGTGGTCTGTTTAGACCCCTAATATTTCCCCAAAGCCCCTAAAAGTAAAAAATAAAATTTAATAAAAACATGAATAAATTAAAACATTTTAAAAAAATTGAAAAAAAATTAAAATAAAAACATTTTCGGCTGACAATTTTTTTTTAATTTTGGTTTTGAAATTTCTATTTTGGTGCACCTCTACTAGGAACAGCAGTGGAAGACTAAAGTACTGACTTCCTAGATGAAATTGCCATCTACCTTAGAGAGCCCTGAGGTTTCAGGTTCCCGGGATTTAAAAAAAAAAAAAAAGTTTAAACTACAAGCAGGGTCCTCCCTATGACATACAAGTTCTGGTCTTGTAACATTACTATGACTACACATACACAAACTAGGATTCTTTTTCCCTGTATGGCAGGAGGTGATTGCTATTGAAGTACAAGACCATTAAGACTTTAGCATATGGATGCTCCATGTCCCCCTCCAGCCTCTCGTTTGTACACTTCATTACTTATACCTTTCTATGTCCCCTTAAAGACAAAACACAGCATCCTACCATGATTAAAGGCCCGTTCACACTTGTACAAACATGCACTAAAATACACACACAAGAAAGCATGCGTTAATGCATGCTATAACAATGCATGGCAGTGCACCTGCTCTGTGTGCAGTAGAGCACAATGCACCACAGCACATATACTGCAAATTGTACTGGGCAGGACCATGTACATTTTTTATTATCCATTGTGGTACATCAGCAGCCCATTTAAAAGCATGTGCGGTAATGGAATGCTTAAATTTGAGTGGGCCCTAAAACCTAAAAACGGGCACCCAAATACTTTGGTCACCCAGAACATTCTTCCTCCAGTTCCAAAAGGCCCGTGTCGTGTCCCCCCCCTCCCCCCCAATTCCCTTCTTCCAGGGACACGAATAGAAATCTGACAGGGGTTCCAACCTTTGACCGCTAACCCTGCCATACTGACTTCCAGTACAGCCAAACAATGTCATCAGGACAGGAAGTGAGGCTAAATCTCTCTAAAACCCTGAAAGGGGTTCTAATCCATCCAAAATTAAGAAGGGAATTAATCAAAACTGCAGCAGACGGAATCTAGAGCGGGTGCCCATAGTAACCAATCAGCTCCTCTTGAGTTTCTTCTGTTAAGCTTTCAAAATGAAAGTAGTTGATCGGTTGCCATGGACAACTGCTCCAGTTTTAAAAAACTCCCCTCAGTATCCAGCCAGAGAAGATTAAGTGCCAATTCACAAACATGCATCAAGCCCTGGAACGAAGTGCAATGCCACTAATTTTGGATGGCACCCAAACGCACAGAATCAAACCATCTATGTGTTGAGGGGAACTGCTCTGAAAAAAGAAAAATGGCACAGCTGCATTTTTAGGTGTTCGTTGAGGTGCACGGCCGGTCCATTCCAAATAGATGGGCAGCCTCACAGCTAACAAACAGGAATAAAGATCCCTATTTATGTGTTGCAGCCTGCGCACAGGTATGGAGGAGCCTTACTGCCTCTGACATATTGTGTGCAATGTAAAAGCATAGACATAACGAAAGAACTTAATGGGCCTATTCACAAATACGTATCCCGGCCCATTTCAAGTGCATGGGAAGACTTTATGCAAATCCACAGTGAAGAGGGATTTATCAAAATTGGAGCAGACAGGAGCAGTTGCCCATAGCAACCAATCACCTTCTCTCTTCAGTTTATCTAGTTAAGCTTTAAAAGAGAAGCTGATTTGGTTGCCATGGAAACCGTTTCAGATTCTTTCTGCCCCAGTTTTTATAAATCCCCCCAGTGTGAATAAGATACGAGAATCAGATGCAGTGTAGTTTTGTAATATTTGCGAGAACCCGCGAAATTCATAAACCACGACAGTCTGGATTCCTTTATGATGTTTTTTTTGTGCAGATTTAACATAATATTTAGATAAATGAGAAACTTGCAAATTGCAGTAACGCCCGACTGGGCCATCACTACAGAAGAGTCTTAAAAGCAATACCTTGTGCCAGAGGCAAAGTGCATGAGTGCTAATAAAGGCCATGCCCTGCAGTCAGTCTACATTCACTTACCCGGGCCACATAACCTGCTATAGTGGTAAGGGTTGCAGCACATGCTGTTGCTGTCGGCTCCTCCGGCTCCCTGACACCCGCTCAGGGCTTTCAGTTGCCCGGGATGCTGCAGCTCTGGCCAGCGGAAGAGTCTACAGAGCAGCAGGTGAGGAGGGGGCCCGCTCCGGGTGACCAGCACGCAGCCCCCAGGCGCTGCCCCCCTGGACTCCACCGCCTCCAGCAGGGCACACAGGCCTTGCTAGGCACAGCCTGCCAGGAGCGCTCCGCACCGCAGTGCCACGTCTGTCCTTCTAGGGCCGGGCACGCAGCGATAATGAATGCGGTCTTCCGGTGTGCCAGGTGCACAGTTCTACATATTTCTCTCCAGTGCCAGGCGCACAGTTCAGTGATCCTCTCCGGTGCCAGGCGCACTCTGCTGGATTGAAAGTGATCCTGTCCTGTATTAGATCTGTGCCAGGTATATACAGTACTAAGCAATCCTCTCGTGCAGTTGGATCTTATCCTCTCATGTGCCAGGTGCACTGTGCTGGACTACGTGATCCTCTCCTGTGCCAGGCACACAGCCCTATGTGATGCCCTCCTATGCCAGGCACCCAGCAGTTCTCTATAATCTCCTCCTGTGCCAAGCAGACAGTCCAATGTGATCTCCTCCTGTGCCAAGCAGACAGTCCAATGTGATCCTTTTTTGTGCCAGGGGTACAGTAGTTATATGGAATCCTAGTCTGTGCCAAGCACACAATCCTATGTTCCTCTCCAGTGCCCGGCACAGTTCTATGGGGTCCTCTCCTGTGCCAGGCACACAGTCCAATAGGATCTCCTTTTGTGCCAGACACAATGTTCTTTCTCTGGGATCCTCTCCAGTGCCAGGCACACAGTCCTAGGTGATCCTCTCCAGTGCCAGGCACACAGTCCTAGGTGATCCTCTCCAGTGCCAGGCACACAGTCCTAGGTGATCCTCTCCAGTGCCAGGCACACAGTCCTAGGTGATCCTCTCCAGTGCCAGGCACACAGTCCTAGGTGATCCTCTCCAGTGCCAGGCACACAGTCCTAGGTGATCCTCTCCGTGCCAGGGAAGTGAACGCTGTGCGCACCTGCGGTGCCGATGCCCGGACGGCGGTGATGGGGGGGGGCTCCGCACACAGAACAGCAGAGAGCCGGCCGCCCCGGGTCACATCTCGCACACGCCTGGCTGCAGATGAAAGCCCCTCTTCGGAGGCTCCGGAGCTGTCACATGGCCGGGGGAGGCTGGAGATGTCGCCCGATGCAGCACACAGCCGGCATCCTGAGGACCACAGATGCTGCAGGGAGGAGATGCTTGCCCGGGATGGTCGGTGCACAGTGATCAGAACCCCGCACTGCACACACAGCAATCACACGCACGATCCCCTGCACACAAGCTTCACATAGCACCGCTGCAGACGGACCCTCTGCACACCGATCCGCCCTCCGTGCGTGCACGCTGCCTGCTAGTCTTCTGCAGTCCGGCCCCTTCTCGTGGAAGTCGCTTCTCCGGTCCCGGCAGATTGCACGGTGCTCGGCGCTCTCCCGGTCCGGTCCCTGCACACTGATCGCTGCTCTTTGTGCTCACGCTCTCTCTCACACACACTCGGGCCCAGCACTGGGCGCCCTATTGGCTGTCTCCAGTCACATGACAGTCTAGACACTTTGGCGGCTCCGCTGCACTGACTGTTGCGCAAACAAATCTCAAGTTTCTTAACTCTTAAAGGAGCCGCGCAGCAGCCTGGCCGTGCATCCTCTACCTGGTGCCTTGCCTCTGAGGTCAGGTGAGCAAGATGTCTGCTCCAGTGAGCCCTTCTCTACTTCATTGTGATTTATAGGCTGCACAGTTACCAAAATTATTCATATAATCCGAAGGGACCACTGGGGCCAACTGCAGCATCCTATGGCAAACTTGATTCTTCTCTGCTGCTGTTCACTTAGAGGTCTTGTCCCTCCCCCAGCCTGTGACTGGACAGTGAAAGGAGAAGAAACCGACTGATGAGCTCGTCTCTCTGTCACTCTGTCCTTTACTCCTATCAGCATGCTCTTAATACAACTAGTTGGCGCTAGTTAGCTACTTGTGCTGCTCCCCCCTCCCCCAGTTTGAATGCTGTTATACAGGGGAATGAATGAAGCTGATACCAGGTCCTATTCAAGTTATTACACAGCGTGCATTTAGAAAAGTGCATTTGATGATGTATTAATGAATACAGGGCTACATTTATTTTTGTATTTTACTTCTGACTGGAGTTCAGCTTCAACATGCACAGAAGCCAGTAGCAGATCCCTAAACCTTAGACCTGCCTCTGCAAACCCTACAGCTGCCACAGCAAACTCCACAACTGCCATCGCAAACCCTACAACTGCCACCGCAAACCCTACAACTGCCACCGCAAACTCTACAACTGCCACTGCAAACCCTACAACTGCCTCTGCAAACCCTACAGCTGCCACAGCAAACTCCACAACTGCCACCGCAAACCCTACAATTGCCACAGCAAACTCTATAACTGCTACTGCAAACCCTACAACTGCCTCTGCAAACCCTACAACTGCCAACGCAAACCCTACGCCTGCCATAGCAAACCCTGCAACTGCCACCGCAAACCCTACGGCTGCCAACGCAAACCCTACAACTGCCAACGCAAACCCTACAACTGCCAACGCAAACCCTACAACTGCCACTGCAAATCATCAGCATTTGAAATAGCTTAAAAACCTTTTGACTCTAATATCACTGTAAGAACAACTCGGCTACAAGTTTCCACACATAATCACACTGCTGAATATGTAAAACTATAGTGATTGCTATGGACTGACTAGTAGCCAGATGGCAAACAAAGTGCTCCTGTAAGCGTAATAAGACCAGTTATCTAATAACAAACAATAAATACAGTTAGTGACCAGAATAAGTCACCTAAACAGTCATTATGTCATAGGAAGATAAAACAATAATAACCCCTCTTCAAATCAGGGTGGAGGGACAATTCATCCCTATACACACTACTGTCCTGCAGCAAGAGACAAAAGCTAGACAAAGCAATCTTCCAATATTATCAAAGATCAAGGGGGATATTCACTATTGAGCCGAAGGATACAGCCGTAGCTTCAGCTGATCCTTTGGCTCTCTTCGACCACCGGAGCCCTTCTGTTCAGTGGAACCCGAAGGGCTGCTGTACGGGCTATTCACAATAGCCCGTACAGCAGCCAAAGGCATATGCTTCGGCTCTACTGAGCGGAGCTGTCACTGCTAGCTCCGCCCAATTGGAGTTTTGTCACGGGAGCCACGTACCTGAGGTGAGACCGAAGTAGTGGGGAGGCCTCCCTTGCACCTCAGGTCCTTGAAGTCTCTGGAGATGGAGACAGAAACTTGGTGGACACCGAGTGGCAGGGGTGCCCAGCACCGTGCAAGCCTTAGGCCTGGTTCACACCTGGGCGTTTTACAGCGCGTTCCTACGCTCTGTAAAACGCTCAACATGTGAAAACCAATGATTGCCTATTGGCATGGTTCCCACCTGGGCGTTTTACAGCGCGTAGGAACGCGCTGCAAAACGCCCTACGCCCAAAGAAGTACAGGAGCTTCTTTGGGGCGTATTTGCCGCGCGTATCCATTGGGATACAGCCAGGTAGCCCTCGGAAACGCGCGTTTGTTGCGGGTTTTTACCGCAAATCGCGGTAAAAACGCGCAACAAACGCGCATATTCGATACACCTAGGTGTTAACCCAGCCTTATTCCGAGATCCAAGCCAAGGTCAAGTCCACGCCCGTCCGCGATGAAGCTTGCAGAAAGAACTGCCGGAGATGATCTGGAGCATGGATATGCGACTCGGGTTCCCAGGAATTCTCTTCAGGGCCATAACCCCTCCACTGTACCAGAAATTGGCGTCCGCGACCCCTTCTACGGCAGTCCAGGATGGCCTCCACCTCGTACTCCTCAAACCCTTCAACCATGGAGGGAGCCGGAGGACGGACCCCACGTTCCCCAAAGGGGTTCGGGGCCACGGGCTTCAGGAGGGAGGCATGGAAGACAGAGTGGATCCGGTAAGTTGAGGGCAGTTTGAGTTTGTAGACAACAGGGTTGAATCGGGACAGGACAGGGAAGGGCCCAATTTCTTGGAGGGACAGGTCAACTTCAAATGCCTGGTAGACAGCCAACCTTGTCTCCCGATTGAAGATATAGGTCCCCCCGCCGCCTTCGATCATAGATGGCCTTGTAATCCAGCTGCGCCCTGGCCATGGTATCCTTTAGGACAGGGGTGCCCATAAGGTCGATCGCGATCTACCTGTCGATCGCGTAGCGATCACTGGTAGATCGGCATGTCCTCTCCTCCCGCCGCTTCTCTGGATGCCCGCTGCTCTCCCCAGCGGGGATCCGAGAAGAAGTGAAGGAACCGACAATGAGCTCGTCATTTGAAAAGTAGATCACCAGATGAAAAATAGTGGGTGCCCCTGCTTTAGGAGCTCCAAGTTGTTGTGCAGAAACTCCACTCTGTTCCAGGGACCGAAGCGGAAGCGGGTAGGACAGGGGCAAAAGAAGGGTGGTACCCCAGGTTGGCGTAAAACGGTGATTGCTTAGTGGTAGAATGTATTGCGTTGTTGTATGCAAATTCAGCGCAAGCAAGAAGGGACACCCAATTGTCTTGGACAAAGGTGGAGAAACAACGAAGGTACTGTTCAAGAGTTTGGTTCGTGCGTTCCGTTTGTCCATTAGTCTGAGGGAAAATTTTGCACAAGGAAGAAGGGACGCCCAATTGTCTTGGACAAAGGTGGAGAAACAACGAAGGTACTGTTCAAGAGTTTGGTTCGTGCGTTCCGTTTCTCCATTGGTCTGAGGGTGATAGGCCGAAGAGTAGTGGTTCTCGATGTCTAGAGCAAGACAGAGCTCCTTCCAGAATTTAGAGGTGAACAGGACCCCACGATCAGATACAATATTGCTGGGGACCCCATGGAGGCGTACGATCGCCTTGATAAAAGCCTGAGCAGTTTCTGGGGAGGAAGGAGTGCCAATCATAGGAATAAAATGAGCCATTTTTGCAAGGCGGTCCACATCAACAAATATGGATGTAAACCCATCAGAGGGTGGTAGCTCCACTATGTAATGCATGCTGATCTGTTCCCAGGGTCTGGAGGGAACAGACAGGGGGTGTAGGAGACCCCATGATTTATTCCTTTCCGTTTTGCTGTGATTGCATACCGGGCAGGAATTGACGTAAGCGTGGCAGTCCGCCTTGAGGGTAGGCCACCAAAAGGTTTGCAAAAGCAGATCGGTGGTTTTGGTCACCCCGAAATGCCCTGCTAACTTGTCATGGCTGAGTTTGAGCACCAGAACTCTCAATTGAAGGGGCACAAACACAGCATGGTCATGGAAGAAAAGTCCGTCCTTTTCTTGCAGATGTTCTCCTGAGGGCAGCTGGTCTAGAGAGGAGGCCAGTTTAATCCTGGACAAGAGGTCATCCGTAAGTAGGAGGAAATTATAGGCAGGGAGTATCGCGGCCGTCGTTGGCGAGTTATCTGATGTGGGATACATGCGGGATAGAGCATTAGGTTTACAATTCTTGGATCCCGGACGGTACGTGATATGCATTTGGAATCAGGTGAAGAAGAGAGCCCATCTGGCTTGCCTAGGTCAGAGACGTTTAGCTGTACGGAGGTACTCCAAATTTCTATGATCAGTGTAGATAAGGATAGGGTGCAAGGCTCCTTCCAATAGATATCACCATTCTTCCAGGGCCAGTTTAATAGCAAGGAGTTCCCGGTCCCCTACGTCATAATTCCTTTCGGCTGGGGACAACTTCCAGGAATAGAAGGCAACCGGATGCAACATGGCTGTGGCAGTCGAGGACTGCCCCGACCGCAATCTCTGAAGCATCGACCTCCAGCACGTAAGGCAGGGCCGGGTCGTAGGGATGAAGGATCGGGGCAGAGGTGAATTGCTTCTTGAGTTTGTCGAAAGCCGTCTGTGCTGAGGGGGACCACAGAAAACGGCTGTTTTGCTGGTGAGCTGTGTGATGGGCGAAATTATTGACGAGAAGCCTTTGATGAATCTTCTACAGAAATTGCCGAATCCCACGAACCTCTGGATGCCCTTACGGTCCGAGGGAACGGGCCATTCAAGAACTGCAATTACCTTCTGGGGGTCATGGATATGCCAGAAGTCGAAATAATGAGGCCAAGGAATTGTATGGTATCTTTCTCAAACTCACATTTTTCAAGCTTGGCGTAGAGTTTATGGGCTCGGAGGCGAAAAAGGACTTTTCGCATGTGGATGTCATGTGCCTTGAGGGAAGGTGAAAAAACAAGGATGACGTCTAAGTACACTATCATGAAGAGGTCAAGAAAATCCCGAAAGATATAGTTCACCAGGTGTTGGAAAGTTGCTGGGGCGTTACACAGCCCAAATGGCATGACAAGATATTCAAATGGCCAAACCTAGTACGAAAGGCCGTTTTCCATTCATCGCCCTCTCTTATCCGTATTAAATTGTAGGCCCCCCCGTAGGTCCAATTTTGAGAACACCTTGGCGGTGTGGAACCTCTGAACAAGCTCAGGGACTAGAGGCAACGGGTATCGATTCTTGATTGTGATACTGTTCAATTCTCTGTAGTCGTTACTTGGTCTTAAAGAATGGTCCTTGTTTTCCACAAAGAAGAGTCCAGCGCCAGCAGGAGAGGTAGAGGGCCGGATGAACCCTTTCCTAAGATTGTCATCAATGTATTTTCGGAGGACTTCTAATTCAGGCTCAGAGAGTGGGAAGATCCTCCCAAATGTTATTGCAGAACCAGGAAGAAGCTCAGTTGGGCAATCATACGACCGGTGAGGCGGTAGGGATTCAGCCCCCTTCTTGACGAAGACGTCCAAGAAGTCTCGGTAAGCCTGGGGGAGAAGAGTGTTGTCATCTGTAGAAAGGGGTTGAACCATCAAACAGGCTCCTTGTGGAAAACAGTGGTGTAAGCAATAGGGTGAGCCGAAAGACACAGCTCCAGTGGACCAATCAATCTGTGGCTGGTGCTGTCGAAGCCACGGTAACCCCAAAATAACCGGAAAAATGGTGGAAGAAATCACGTCCAGCCGAAGATATTCCCGATGGTCTGCGATGGTCTGCTTTGGTGGTGGCCAATATGAGGGGGGTCTCATGGGTTATAGCAGTGGTCCCCAACCCCCGGGCCGCGGACCGGTACCGGTCTGTGGATCAAATGGTACCGGGCCGCCCAAGGAACGTGTGCGACAAAAATGGTATGTAAATAAAGCATGTGCAAGCCCCAGAGTCAATAACGGCTGCTACTCGGATTATCCTTCCCGGTATCTGTACAGAAAGGCAGAGAGTGAGATGTGAGGATTTATCATCGTTAGGCGAAACAGATGGGGGTTCGATCCACTTACTAAGCCTAATGAGACATCCCTGTAGAAAGTGACCCGCTCCACCACAGTACAGGCATAGATTGTTCAGGCAACGACATTGTTGCTCTTCAGGTGTGAGGGGTGCACAAACTAAGCCGAGTTGCATCGGTTCTGCCTCCTGAATTGGTGTTGATGCGTGGGCCTCAGGTGCGGAGCCATGGGTACTCGTGGGAGCATTCATG